TTTTAGTCAGCGGACCTAGTAGCCGTTCAATACTTTTTTGGAATAATGCCGGAAAGACACCATTAGCACCTGGAGATTTCAGAAGTTTGAGTGAGTTTATCACCCACCTGATTCTAGGCATTGTGATTATGTCTTTGGCAGTCTTTCAATATTCTCTCTTTATCATCCTATGGAGTTCAGTGTGCCTTGATTTTGTCCATAGGTTTGAAGAGGATCCTGGGAAATGTACATGAAGAAGTAACCTTACCTTTTTCTCTGCACCTAACTTGAAACTTTCAAATTCTCGCCTCCACCAAGGCACATCCTTGTTGGAATTAATTGAGCTTAATGGACAGCTAACCTCACATGCATTTAATATAACACAATTTAGCCTTAGTTGGACAAGATTGCCTTTCTGAATTTCTGTGTAGGCTTCCCAATTTGTTTTTTTTTTGGATTCCTTATGTCTTTGATCAGACATAGGAGGTTCACTAGCGATTCTTCAGTTTTTGACTAGCTCATAACCTTGAGTATTTCTTATTGTAATATCTAGGACCTCTTTGCGTAAGTAAGTTATAAAAGTTGGTATATTGCCTAAATTAAGTTTTTCTAATTTCTTACTAGTTATTAATTCTAAAAGCTACTCATCGCTTGTGTTGGTGTTTGTGCTTCCCCAAATTTCATTGTGCGCGTTGGGTTCTCTAGAAGTAGTCCACCAGTTTATCGACCTCTACATATGGTGCTTGAGTGTTGTTATTTAGTAGATAGCCTGTAGCTACGACCACGTTTCGTAGTACTCCGTTGATGTTCTTCCGAATCTTGTGCAGGTGGAACGGGATAGAGCTGAACCTGTAGAATACCCCACAGCTGTTGGTTTTGATAGCTTCCTGGGACCGGCTGTCAATCTTGATCGTTAGGAGTTTGCCATTCTTCATACGTTTAATATTCTCCTCATTCTGTGTTATGGTGTTGACACCATTGGTTTTTCAGAGGTAGACCGTCATCATGTGTGTACTCGGTATAGCAGCTACAAGATGTCTTAAAAAAATTGCAGCTGGAAACAAAATCAATTATTTTATAGGATCACAAATTTCATATGAATATGTCAATGACGTTAATGACGCAGGAGAATCACAGCCATCGAAGCCGAAAGACAGCTCATTCGTATTCTAAAAGCTCACAATTTTTGACTTAAGAAGTGACAACAATTCGGTTTTAGGACCACTTTGAATAAGTGAATCTTTATAAAAGAATCAGGTGCGTTAAATGATCCGCGAATTTCGTGACACATATTCAAAGGAGATGTATCATCGTACACTCAAATTAATGTTTTTGTTGACGCCTTTGAAAAGTCATTTGAGCCTGTGACATATAGGAGATCTAAAAACTTGTGTAACTCCTTTAAAAAGCAAACATAGCCACGAATAGAATTGTGCATATAAGCACATAAATATATTACACTATATATCAAAAATAAATATATTACACTTACTTGGAGGTATAATCTGCGAACTTGTCAATTAACAGCAAATTCATTCAATGCCATTATGTTGGTTCGAAGGAAAACCAAGCTGATATATTGTCAAGAACTTTATTAGCAAATATGTTGTCCACAAAACCGTTTGTTTTCAAGTACTATTTTTCCTTCATATTTTGGCAGACAATTGGTGGGTGTATGCAACAATTCTTTGTAAATCCATGACAGAATTTTTGTGTGGAATCATATACATGAATTCAGAATCACTCGTAAGGATAGAAACTGTCTTCAAGATGAGAAACTGTTTTTGAGTTTCTATCCTTACGTGTGTTTCTGAATTTATGTACATGATTCTACACATATTGCATATCGACTGGGGTATACTTAGCAAATAAACTCAAATATCTGAGGCAAATAAATAATTCCCTAGCCTCACACACCTTAGACAGAGAAGGAAGAATATTGATAAGCCGATATATTCTATCGGAGGAAGAATATTCTTAAATAATGTCAAAAAGAGTTCTTAAAGATAATATAAAGCAATCTAGAGATGATACAATTAGCAATCATAGACTTTCTAACAGATACTCACCATGGTAAGATCAATCCGTTAATATTATCTCCGACAACTGTAAACAAAAATAATAATTAAACATCATACCATCGCTGCTGAAATTACCACTATTAGTAGAGGTACCAAACTGGGTGAACAATTTTTTGGTGGTAAAAGATCTGCGTAGTTTGACATTAGCAAAATATGTTAATCGTGGAGAATATATCCCTATTGGCAAATCTGATCTCAGCTCTTGTGTGATCATAAGACAAGAAGAACTGTTTCAATTTAACATAAGCGTTCAATAGAGTTTTAGATTATAAATGTGTGCATAAGATATAAGTTTGTTCAACAATAACGCAACAGCTAATTGTTATTTGAAAGGAGCTGTTAGCAATGACACTGGAATTCCATTGAACCAAAATAATGAATGGATGTATGCAGTTTCCTCATCGCCAGAAGTCTATGAAAAGGAGATCACACCACTCAACTTAAATGTTTCCAGGTTACTAACATTCAGTTAGAGTGTTAAAACACGCTTCTGCCTCAATACAAGATCAAAGAACAATATTAAACACCAAGGTATTCAGATACTTCAGTAAGGCCTCTGGTCTAATGCTACGATATTAACTAATGACCGTCATCAACCACAATTCAATCAACGATATGCGTTATAACTAAAGGAATTGGCAGTTGATCTCTCAAGACTACTCCAATCACAGATACTATAACCTACTCAGTTTTGTTCTTGATTCTGATTTAATTATTAACATATTGAGATAAGCAGTTTTAAAAAAGGCACAAAATGAATGAAGAACGAACCACCATTTCACCACAACTAACACCTGCAAAGAGATTGAAACCACAACCTACAACACATTGATAGTTTCAAAAATTTCTCGTCGACATATAGTTGACATGATAGTCCGGACGGACTATCAATAATTTGAAATTATTGAATATTCGTTTAACACGGGGGAGAAAGTTTCATATATTAAAAGATAGTTATAATAATTTTATATTCGATATTGTATGCCAGTGTACAGTGGCGGAGCTAGACCAACTCTGGACGTCGGCGACATTAGAATTGCGAAGCCCCCTTTATAACCCAGTTGTAAAAGTAAATAATCAATTTAAAATAAACACAAATTAAAATAAATGAATTTTCCTACTTTTAGCTTCACTCAATTTTTTTTAAAATTATATCATAATTTGCGTCAGCTGCTATTTTCGCATCAGTTTATAGAATTTCGAATGGAGATAGTCTCTCTTGGATCATCATACTATATAAACATTCGGAAATATTTCGAATATGGTTAATGCCATTATCAAATCAAATTGTTCAAAATATTTATTAAGCGTTTAGAATCCACAGTCGGTAACTTTTTGCGAGGCCCATGGGGGCGCGAGGCCGTCGGCGCTCGCCGACATCGCTGACGCCTAGCGACGCCACTGCCAGTGTGAGTAATATTTTATTTTTAAAAATAAGAGTTATTCTTGATTTTTATTTATGTATATGTAAGGCAAAAATAACAGTTATTTGTGCGTTTTAAAATAAAAAGCAGAGTGCAAGAGTTATTTCTGCGTGAAAAAATAAAAGGCAATGATAATAATTTTTTTATTGATATAATTTAAAACAAAATTAATTATTATTTTTTGAATTTTATTTTAAAATGCGAATGATAACAGTTGTAAGATTTTTATTTTTTTAATGATAGGTACTACGGACCCTGAAAAAAACTAAAATTATAGTATGCTGCTTCCGACATCTAAAGTAAAGTTTTTAATGTTCGCATGAGTATTTTTTTTACGAATGTAGTGAACTTGTTAATGATCTTTTCAGGAAGGTAGTGAACTCTTTGGTAATAATTTGTCAAAGGGGTAGTGTGCTTTAGTGCCTATTGAACAAAACATTTTGAAAATGTTTTTAATGTGCATTGTTGTTGTTTCGTTCGTATTTTGTTTATGTTCGTAAATAGAGATGTATATAGTATTCACTTATTGATGCATATTTAATAATGGGTGACGAAATACAGAGATATAATATTTTATTGAGGATGGGTCATGAACACAAACTTTAAAATTTTTTTAATATGTTTCGGACATGAGCAGTACACTGCGATACTATACTGTATACTGTTTATTTTCGGTCACTGTTTAGTTCTCTATTTTTTGAAGGGAGTGCAGTCGTACAAACTAAAATATATTTAAAGGAAATACAAAAAATATGCGTTGAAGAATATAAAAATGCAATGTAATGGAATTATGTTAGTATCTTCTTTATCAGTCTTATTAACATTTTTCGTAAAAATTGAAATCTGAATAACAGTCTAAGAATATGTAAATAATTTTATACTGTAATAATACGAATAATAATAATCGCATATGACGAAGTAACTATTTTTAGTGTTCCCGATTACAGTTTTCTCAGTGCACGTATTGAATTATTTGTTGAGTTATTTATCCATAAATAATGAGTTTTTATTTAGACAATGAAGTGGAAGTGGAAAGTCAAGAAAATTCTCTGAAATCGTGTGGGTGCGTTATTTTTGTGATAGAGCAATGAGAAGAAATTGTGAAAAAGTATTATGATTTCTCCAGAGTCTGTCAATATTTGCGTGTAGTGTTTGAAGGTGAGCACTGAATGCAGACCAAATGATCTTATGCGATGCTTACTGTGAGACTACTAGCACAATTCATGGATACATAGTTGTTCAGTTTATTTTCTAAGCAAAACCGAGATGAGGAATTTATTTGATAGAAAAATTTGGTTAGTCAGTGTGTATTATATACTTTTCACGACTGGACGAAATAATGATTTCAAAACAATTTGAATAATTTTACGTAATTTTTTTTTTGAGTATTTTGTGAGTGTAGAAAAAATTGTTTTCTACCATGCGTTGAAGTGACAAAAAAACTATTTGCTAACTTTCTTGAAGATGATAAATTTAGTGAAAATAACTTAGATTTTCAGAGTCTCCAAAAGAAAGAACTCGTAATGAAAGTTACAAAATGAAACTGTATTTTAATATAATATTAGTATTTACAATATTGCAATTAACTACCGAAATGGAAAATGAAGAAAAAACTTTAGTGAAAGTTGGTACGATGACAACACAAGTTGCGAGTTTAACTTATGACCAAATTAATTAATACTTTTACATACTTTTGCATGATTTTTGATTGCAGGTGCTCTTTTCTTTGAAGCCGAAGAAGATATCGAACTGAGTTTCGATGCAGCTTTCAGTGAGTTAAACAATTCGAAGTTTTTTGAAATAAAATTTTTGACAATTAAGCGTTACATACGTCGAGATGATAGTTGTATGCTACAACGTCTGGGTGAGCCAATGCCAAACAAGATATTACATTACTTTTATGCATTGAAGTTCGAACTCGAACTATTTTCGTTACAGCTTGCGAATTGATTGCTGAGGGCGTAGCAGCTATTTTTGGACCAAGCTCAAAGGCAACGCACAGTGAGTTCCAAACAATTACTGAAAACCAGAAAAAAGCGGAAAATGAATTATTTTTATTTTTCATAATGATCTCCCATTTGCTGTAGTTGTAGTTGCCTCGTTTTTGTTTGTTATTGATTATTTAAAAATTTAGATTATTATTATTTTGCATAATTTTCACTAGTATATATGTTGTATATAATTCATTTAAGATATTGTTGCGGATATTGCCAATTCAACAGGCATTCCACATTTACAATTTGATTTTAAAGAAGGTGAGTCTTTGCCAGAAAAGCTAAATCATCGTATGACAGTGAATGTGGCACCAGCGCCAACGATACTTGCACGTGCCTATTGGGATATTATAAAAACAAATTATGACTGGAAAGCGTTTACGATATTATACGAGAATGACGCAGGTGAGTTTGGAAACTGAACTGTTACTTGTAGAGTTGAGGAATATAGTTTCCAATTTAGAAAAGTGTTCCATGACTTGAAAAAAGGTGCATCAGATGCAAAATGCATTTTGAGGATAATTGACCCAATAAATATTCTAAATAAAATTGAACCCAAAAAATATATATTTTTTATATATATTTAAGTAGAGTAAAGTTTGGTTATATGGGCATGTAGTCCTTATTAATAATTATGAAAACAAATATATTTAATACAACTATCATAAATTTATGTTTAAGAAGTACCTGGACAAAGGGGCATTCCATGGGCATGAATTAACGCTACAGAAAAAAGCACACAAAAAATATTCCTGAGGTTTTCAATAAAATTTTACGGATATCCAAGTTGTTTATAGAAGTCACACTTCTTTCTACCTAGCAACAATAGAGCTATGAGCTATAACTATGAACAATAGAGATGTATGCTTACTTTTTGAATGCTCGATTGGGACTAAGGCAAAAGGTTTTAAAATGACATCATCTACTAATGAGTTTACCAATGTGTACATTGTTCAAAAGCTAGCGCCCTTTCATTAAACTTCAATGTATGTAAATATGGAACGTTACTAACACTATCAATTTAAAATACTTGATATTAAATTCTTGCTAGTGCCCCATATAGTTTAAATCATATTATCTTATGATTGTTTCCAATTTTTTTCACATAATATCTTCGCTAATGAGAGTAGTATTTTAAATTCTCTAAAAATCTATAAGGTTAAATTATATATAAATAACATTTTTTAATTTTTAAGGCCTCACACGACTTCTGAATCTTATGGATATAAACACTCTAACACATGACTTTATTAAGGTCATAAAAATAAGTGTATACAATGACGATTACCGTGTGTTGTGGAAAGAAGCTGCAGAATCATTCCATGAACAACGTTTTATACTTGATTGTGAACCAGAAACTTTGGAAGGCTTACTGAAAGTAGCGTTAGAATATAATTTATTAGGTGCGTTTAAAGTATGTAAAAGAAAATTCATGGAAGTTTTGCAATGTGAAACTAGTGAATTCGTATTTTTAGAATTGGTTTCTTACAAATTTGGATACTCACAGTTCAAAACTGCGATATATGTACAATGAATCCTTTCAAGCTAATATAACATCGGTTAGAATAAAAACTGTTGATGCAAATCCTTACGAACGAAAGAAGGCAAAACAAACTGAAATTGATGTACGTAGTGTTGTCAGCGCTTCTCATTGCCATTCTAAACTGATTTTCTTGCAGGTTTTATATAGCAATCAGGCATTGCTCCCTATACTGATGTATGATGCTGTTATGCTTTTTGCCAATTCAGCACGAAATATAATTCTAGAATTAAAACAGTATCAGGAACCTAAAAAGTCTTGTGATATTGAACAACGTAGTCCCTGGTATTTAGGACTTCTGATTACTGATGAAATGAAGAGTGTAAGTTCTGTACAGTCATATTTGTTACTGTATCTAAATTTTTACATATATCTAGATTTCTGAAGATAACATTGAGCCTCCCTTCAAAACTGAAAATATGAAATTTAATGAGTTTGGTGAACGCATTGAGTTTGATCTAGAAATTTATAAGCCAACCGTTAATGAACCAATAGCTATCTGGAAACCCGATAACAGTATTGTACCAGTAAGTGTACGATCGTATATGACTGCAGTATCCAGTGCACAAGATTATTCAATAGCACGAAAAACGTACACCGTAGTAACTCATTTTGAGGAACCCTACTTCATGCTCAAGTTAGTCCTTTGCAAGAGTAAACCATGAAGAAATAGTAATTAATTGAAATTAATGTGAATATTTGTAGAGTTGATCATGAAAATTATCGTGGTATAGAAAAGTATGAAGGATATGCGGTTGATTTAATACATAAAATATCTGAAATCATGGACTTTGAATACAATTTTATGCTTGTGACTGGAAATGGAAATTATAATCCACAGACTAAGGAATGGGATGGTATAATTAGAAAACTGATAGATCATGTAAGTATATACATATATTTGCAATGCGTTTTTATTAGTTCATTAAAAGAGCTGATATCTTGACTTAAGAATGAGAATTAAGAATTAATATTTATATTATTGAATAATTGGCTATGAATGCATCAACTATAAAATGTCCAACTAAAACAAATCTAGACTACTTATAAATCTTGTAACTACTGTGGGCTTAATTTTACCTTTTTGATTTGGGACTATGGTCCCGCCTCCAAGGTAATCACGTCTACGTCTTGACACCACTGGGCAGTTGCATAGAAAATGTTCTAATGTTTCTTTCTCCTCATGACAGAGTCAACAGGAATCACTTTCTACCGCACCTAAATTCTCAGTGTAGAGTTTAATATCGTTTCTGTTAAGGTTAAAAATAGTGTCAACTTTGATGTGTTTAGGATCAATGAATCTTCTTGACTGTTTGGCCTCTCCAGTGTTTAAGTAGATTTTGTTTCTCCCGTTCACATAATAAGTTATTTGTACGGCTATTTGTTACCCCGCAGAAGGGCTCTGGACCAATGAAAGGAGTACATGCACCTCTCATTTCTAGGGTACTTGGTATTTTATTGCCCTCATTGCCTTCATGTCCCGTTACCTCATGTAACATAGTTCCTCGATGCTAGGGTATTGAGAAGTTGAAAGCTTTCCCAGACCAACTTTGATAAAAACGAGGAGTTTGCTAAAGATTTAAGAGTTGCTTCGCTGTTCGAAAGAATGCTTATTTTAGTACCTAGGGTGACACTGAGTAGGTACTCTTTCGCACAATGCTTTAATGCATGGACCTCTGCCTGAAAAATGAAAGCGGTTTTTCCTATTGCAATTGTTTTGATGCATTTCGGTTTCATAACTCCTGCTTCTGCACTGCCATAATTGTAAGCCCTGTTTTAAAATGATTTTATTATTTCTCCAAGTTGATCGGTCACCACGTCGAATTCTGTAGAGAAAAGACCTTAAAGCACAAAGAGTTCTAGACTTTCTCCAGAATATTTACGTGTCCTGTTACATTGCATAGATAGGAAAACCTTAGTGCGGCACTGGTTGCCATCCTTTTAACCGTGAGACGTAATGGAGTTATCGCAGTCAGCATTGCTAGGGCTTCAGTAGGCTACATTATCTTTGCTCCCGTTACGCTTAAAGAGGCTATTCGATGGATTTTGAGTCATCTTAGCTTTTGTCTCATTTATTTTAGGTGACCATGCCAAGGAAGCATTACGTTCTTGTACGACCAAACCATTATTTTCGGTCGGGCTTTGCCAGTTATATATGATAAATAGTGTTTCAGAGTTTTATCTAGAACTATTCCTAGACATTTTATTTCCTCGGATAATATTTAGTCGGATCTTCCTTCTTTTGGCCTCATTTGTTTTATTCGGATTAATCAAGAGTCCATTATCATGAGACATCTTAAGAATGTCAAGAGCTAGTTGCATCCGATCGGTTACAGTAAATTGAAACTTGTTTCTTATTATGATAATCATATCATCTGTAAAGCCCTGAACTTCGTATTAGAGATCATCAATAGTTTGTACGAGGTCGTCAATGACTGATAGCCATAGGAGTAGCATTAGTACGCCTTCTTGAGGGCATCCTTTGGTTGACTTGACAGTTGATCTCTTTGCCCCCGTTTCAAAGATTATCGTCCTATTTCTCAGCATATTAAGAATCCATGTTATGATCAATCTATGTATTCTTTTCCTGATCATTCTTTCGTCAATTGATCTAAATGTTGCATTGTCAACAGCTTCTGTAATGTCAACCTATGTACTTTCCGATTTTACTCGTTAGACTATCTATATCGGTCTCAGTCGATTTGTCCGACTAGTAAGCATATTGCTCAGTATGTAGGGGTGAAGCTCTAGTGTAGACTTCCTTCACATATTGGTCTAGAATCTTCTCCATCGTTTTAAGTAGAAAAGAAGTGAAGCTAATGAATCGGAAAGCTTTTAGCGTGTTGTCTGTCTTTTTGTTTCGTCCAATGTGGAGGTATCATGCTTATCTAAATTTTCCGTAAAGCTTCCATCAGCCTTCTTTAGTGTAGAGTGAGTGATCTTTGCTGAGAGATTTCTAAAGTCTTGCAGCCTTGCAGCTTTGATTTTCTCAATTTCTTTATGTAAACCGTTGAGACCCTTTTATATGATACCCAGATCTTTAGCCTGACGGTTACCTGGAATGTCGTGCCAGTAACGGCTTTTCTCGGCTGAAAACCATTAATCAATCGGAGACCTAGTTGAAGATCAACTTAATCCACAATATAGCTCCGGTTCACAGATTTGAATGGCAGACCCTGGCCTTGCAAGACTGTCGGCAGACTCGTAACTTTGTTTTTGTTTGCCAGCTACTGCAGCGTATCAGCGCAATCTAATAGAAGCTTTGAGGAAAACTTCAAGGAGCGTAATACTTTGATTGCTGCTTCACTATCTGAGTAAATACAGATTCGGGAGCATTTCAACCCATTGTTAATGTTGATACGAGCGCAGATCTCTATGGCGTAAACTTCTGCTTGGAAGACAGTGGGCCATATACCTAACGCGAGCGAGATTCTGGTGTTAGGACTAAATATTCCAGCACAAATTCCTTCTTTGGTTTTTGAACCAGGAACTACTCTGCAGAGAGAGTTTTGTCTGTTGAGACTTCCGTGTATATTGATAACAAGGTGTAGCCTAGCTTCACTCAAAACTGCTGTCTTTTAAATAAGGGGTGAGACCCACTATGGACTCCAGTGCTGTTGTGGGACAAATTCGAATACTTCCTGTCATAGCGATACATACGAGTCTTTGCAGCTTATTGCATTTAAGTATTGCAGCATTTTGTTGTGCCTTATTCCACCAAACAAGAGCTGCATAGGATACAATGGGTCTGACCATTGTGCGGTGCATTCATAATAGAATTGTGGGACTTAGACCAAGGTTCTACCATATGGGTTCCACATGATTAGGGTGACTTAGCCAATTATATTATCCAGGTGGGTGTTCCAATTTAGATGCTTATCTAGGGTAACCCCTAAATATTTGACTTCATCGGAGCATTCGACAGCCGGACCCAATCATGCCACATGTAAGATCACAATTTCAGTTTGACATGCTTCAGTACACAATAAGCCCCTACACCACGACAAGGTGACTACCTCGCGTTAAGTATTTCATCTTATTTATGATTTCGATTACCTAAATCCATTTGTACTAAGCATTGATAAATGAGAGTAACAGCGATTGTGCTCTATATATTAGTCCAGTACTAGTTGAAGTGCAAAGTATATACGAATATACGGCTGGTATTATTCAATATATTTATGTATATACAATATACAATACAATATATGTAATATATATATTTAAGTTGAAGCTCTTTGAGCCAGTGCACTTGAACACTTTTACTGTTTCTTAACTCAAGGTATTTTCAAAACCCTTCTTTACGCCTTGACTGGATTATTGTTTATCACTTCATCAGACTAAGCAATACTTGACATCAGATCTGCATACCTACCCGCGGAGCCTGTAACCTTTCTGAGATTTGATAACGCGGCGTAGGTAAGTCTGCAAATAATTTCAGGGTTCTATCCTCTATCTTTTATGTATTTTTTGATCGGATCAATCTTGAGGTTCCTGAGGATGTCATTCGTCCTAATGTACCATGGTACTATGAAAAGTCTTCTCAGAGCCTGGCTTTGTGCAATTTCTAGCTGGCGAATAGTAATGTTTGAAGCTTTGCTAGATGCTACACAACAATTTTAATAAAAAAAATATTTATTTATCTTCTTTCAAAGATGTATTTAACACGATTACATTTAGTTTCCAGCACAATTGAGGTAGTAATTTCTAAGCGTTGGATTTATACATATAGATAAAGTACATAAAAACAATTAGAAAAGAAAATAGAAAATAATCCACTAATGGCCACCTTAAAAGGAATACTAGTGATGTAAAAATCATTGAATATTTAAGTTTTTGTTATTATTGTACAAAAGTCATTATAATTACACTATCTTGTAGCACGCACAAATTGGAGTTTGCGATTTAACAATCACACAAACTCGTCGAGAAGTCGTTGATTTTACTGTACCTTTTATGCAGTTAGGTATCAGCATACTATATTATAATACTCCACCAGAGCCAAAGAATCTATTCGCTTTCTTAGAACCGTTTGACATAGATGTTTGGATTTATATGATGGTCACACAATTGGTTATGACTTTACTCTTTGTTTTTATGGCTAGGTGAGTACAGGACTCTTTTAATTTAGTCGTATTTAAATTCTTTTCCCTTTGTTCTTTCATACACTATAGAATTTCAATACGTGAATGGGAAAATCCTCGGCCATCCAATCCAGATCCAGATGTTATTGAAAATAAATGGAATACGCGTAACTCATTTTGGTTGATGATCGGATCCATTATGCAGCAGGGATGTGATATATTGCCAAGGTAAGCTTGTCATGCTAAATATTTACTTAATACAATATACAACTCTTAAAAGAGGACCACCAATGCGCATACTGACAGGTATGTGGTGGTTTTTTTCGCTGATGGCATTGAGTACTTACACCGCTAGTTTGGCTGCCTTTTTGACCAGCAATAAAATGCAAAGCGATATTAAGAGCCTAAATGATCTTGTGGATCAAACAAAAGTAAAATTTGGTGCTATGCGTGGGGGTAGTACATCGCTTTTTTTTTCGAACTCAAATAACACGCTGTATGCTAAAGCCTGGAATCAAATGAAGACATTGAAGCCTTCGCCATTTACAGCAACAAATAAAGAAGGTGTAGCACGTGTACGTAGAGAAAAAGGCGATTATGCTTTTTTAATGGAAACTACTAGTATGTCATATAATATTGAACGAAACTGTGATTTAAAAGAGATTGGCTCAGCAATTGGTGAGAAACTTTATGGACTTGCTGTGCCTTTAGGTAAATACTTTTCACTTTATACAAATAAAATATCTAAGGAGAGACGACATCAAATTCTTTTTTAGGTGCAGATTATCGTTCAAATCTAAGTGTTTCTATTCTGCAGCTAAGTGAAAAGGGCGAACTTTATAATCTTAAAAATAAATGGTGGAAGAAACATAACGTCACTTGCCCAAAATTTCACGAAATCAATGAAGATGAATTGTCCATTGTAGAGCTTGGGGGTGTTTTTCTTGTTTTAGGTGGAGGCATAGTCATTGCGGTTATTTTAGGTTTATGCGAATTTTTTTGGAATGTGCGTCGTGTGGCAGTAAAAGATAAAGTTTGTTGAATACTTAATTAAATAAAAAATTTTCAATAATTTTCTAATGTCTTTTTGCTAAAGGTTACACCGACGGAAGCTTTTAAGGCTGAACTATTATTTGCGTTAAAGTTTTGGGTGCAATATAAACCAATACGAATTGCCGAGAGCCGTAAGTTGTCAATAGAAAGTAATCAACGTTCACCTACACGCTCAGGTACGCGATCATCAAGACGTTCGTCCAAAAGTTCATCAAGGAACTCGTTTCTACGGTCGGGTACACAAAGTCATAGCCGACAGATCTCAAGAAACACAAACCTATAAATTTTAAAAATATGTAAAACATTTCAATAAGTAATATAAGTTATATAAAATAACATATGTTTCAAAGTAAAGCTTATAAGAACGAAAATCTTTATTTAGTAGAATAAATTATTTACGTATATATAGACATTTTTGGTTTCTTCTTTAACGTTTTCTCATATAGTCTGTTTTGTTAAATTAATTTTCCAATTTTAATTATAATGTAAGGGATTTGAAGTATTGATATGATAATAATAATGTCTGAATGAAGTATATAGACACTATTCTCTGAATTCCGAGGCACCTATTCGCCAGTTAAGTTTTTGTTTCTGTCTACACTTCCTGCGGTTTTAAGTTCAATTGTGTCTTGATGCTGTTGTAGAAATTCTTCACAGAATATTGTATAGTATAAAATTTAGTATATATTTTGCTTATATTTCTTTGATGAAAATACGCCCGGTAGTTCATTGTCGGTAAAAAAGTTTGTGATGGAACCTATCAACATATAGTGTGTATCACAGAACTGCAATGAGTATTCCACACTCGAATCATTGACTGTGTTTCAGTTATATGCACTCTGACCTTCTGTTCCGTTGATTGGACTTCACCTGCTCTTAGCACTTGCAACAATTTTTACTCTTCTCATATGATACTCATAAACACCGACATTCGACACAAAATTGATGCAAATGATTTATAAATCATTTATGAATTTTACGTCACAGTTGGGAAAAATTTTCTTGTTCTTGTTTACTGGGTATATAATTTGCTGTTAAACCAACCTCTTATTTTATGCACCTGAAATATTCAAGAACACAAACAAAACACACACATTTACAGTGCTAACAACAACAACACACACCAAAATGATAAAACTAAACGCAGAAATTTTTACTTTAGCAAACAACAGCGCTCATACAAAATTTTTACGAATGCTACAAGTGATACAGTCATTCATTTTCAATGAGTATATTCATACTCACCTGAGTAAAAGCTAAGATTCATGAATCATACGTATTCTTGTGAAGCTGATTTCTCGACAATATTTGCAAAAAACATTGCATGAAACAACTAGCCCCAACGGAATAATTCACAGTTTGCACAGAACCTGAACCTAAGAATAATGAGCATATTCTTTACGCATAAGCAGATTCTTAAAGGAACGTGAAAATTGCCTGGAAGCAGATACCTCCTGCTATACTTATCGACCACTTCCCATGAACTCTCGATGTTAAATCTTGTAGGGGAGCAAATTGTGATTTAGATCACTATCTAGTGAAATCTAGGTTTCGGCAAGGAATAACTAAGTTAGTAACGCAAAATTTAAGGAAGACATGCAAGTGGAACACTGATGAGTTTAAAAATGCTAATAATGTAGAAATACACTAAAACACAATTCGAAATAAGTTACAAGACAGAGGCCACACAGTGAGTTTAGTAGGAGAAAAATGGTGCGCAATTGAAAGCTTAAATTGGAAGAGCATCAGGTGAAAATAACATTACAGTAGAGCTATATAAATATGGGGGTGATCAGATGGAAGAAAAATTGCACTCTTTGATATGTGATATATGACAACAGGAAGAAATGCCATATGGAAAAGCAGTTTGATTTCGTTGCTAGATGTTGGGTATAAAATTTTCTCTACTATTGTCGGTGATTATCAATTTGGCTTCAGAGCTGGCGGGTCAACTATTGATCAGATATTTTTTATGCGTCAATCAATGGAAAAATGCTACGATCATAATTTGATCGTAGCATCCAGGCATTTGATAGCCTGGAGATTTCTAAGATTCTAAACGCTAACGTGGGCAGGCGCTCCTCATAAACTTATTCGCTTGATTCTCATGATACTTAAAAACTCAACTGGTAAAGTTATCCTGAATGGACGACTCTCAGAACCTTTTACGAAAAGCTCAGGTGTTAAAAAAGGCGATAGTCTCTCAGAATTTCTTTTTATAATAAGACTACACTATGTTATTCACTCCCTTGAAAAGCGTGGAAATATTATAACAAAATCTTGCCAAATCGAGATCGTTTTTCAGTTTTTCTTTTGTTGCATTAAGCAGTACTCGTTTAAAATGAAATCGCATTACATTATAAGTCAGTTCACTTTGAAGAACATATGACATTAGTGACTAATACATTCTGAACTTAAATATAACACATTAAATTAATATGAAAAATGATATCATGTAAAAACGTTTTATAAAATGCAAAAATAGCAAATCTAAGTTGAAAAAAATCTTTTTTAGTACCGTAATAGTAAATGTAAAGTTGAAATTCTTAACCGCGTCGATTCTCACGAGGTGATAACTGGTTAGAACAAGACTAACATATCTCAAAATCTCAAAAATATGCATATCTTCCCTTGAAGTTATTTTCAATAAAAAGTTCGTTAAAATTTACCAATATTATAATATAATAATGAAGTAGGAGTAAATTCGAGATAAGCGGATGTAAAGAACTTTACAAACAAGCTGGGGACACTTTTCATCGGATGTGAGACAAGTCAGAATAAGGAGGCAACTATGAAATCTTGTCCATCTTTATATGGTTGAAACAATCTTAACAGGTCATAACAGGGTTAAAAGAATAGAAATATAACGACATTATGTGAAAAGCTGGCAGAGCTAACCATTTAAAATTTAAAAACGAAGTGAGTTTTATGGAAATGCAAGATGGACAGAGATTAAGGTGACATATATTGATCAAAAAGGATTGGGAAAATAAGCAAATGCTTAAAGATATAACTGAAGATACGTTCTCAGCAGAAGCAGTCAAAAAGGTGCGTATGAAGTGATTAGGTGTAAATGACATAAAAATTCAACTTGCATATTATTTTTGAGTGTGATGGAAAAAAGGATAACCAGTGGCTGAAATTTAATAAAAATAAATGATTGATGTGCGAAAAACTGATAGAGGAAGGTGTACTATGCAGTATTTATTGGCTTAAACTGAAAAATTTTTACTTTAAGTATGCAGACACTAGACAAAACTTAGACATTAAAAACCAGTCAAGAATTTATTAAAAAAAACTTAAACTAAACTAAACTTCGAACGTGACTATGCCATCCGTAACGCTCGGTTTAGGCATACTCAACTCAAAAATTCCCTTTGAAAACACAACCAGCTTAACTGCGAAGTCAAACTACGCAGCTATAAACAGCTAATCCGCTCCGTGCTCACACAGGAAACCTATTTGGTCTGCAATTACTTTCGTCCACTTCTTCTCGCTGATATCTCCACTCTCAGCACCCTGCCCATAGACCTCATTCAAGCCTGGCGCTTGAATATCTAACCCAATACTATCATCGCCATTTACAACCGCGGCTTTCATGACCCTGGTCACAAAGTTTGCGTTAGTCGTACCCCAGCGCTTGGACTATAACACCACGTCCTTCACTAACCCTCAAACTTTCTCTTCCACGTCCATCCTTCTTGGCTTAGATAAACTTAATCCGCTAGGTATTAAGAATATCTGCTCACAGCTCTCTCCCTTGATCATTGTAATGAAGTTTCCACATTGTTGTTGAAATCTACTATATTCATTTCAAAGAGGTTGTTTTAGGGGGTTTAAGTCTCACACAGTGACTTTTGATGTTTTCCATCTATTGGAAACAAAATTCTATAGGTTAGATCAATTGTAGGCCAGTAGTTTTTAGCACCGCTGACATTTTAATGTTATAGGCTAGAATCTTTGTATTATCATTGTTTTAACCCCGCCGGCATATTAATGCCACAGGCTTTACTTTTGTAATTAGATAGTAACATTTTTTATTTTGATAGAATGTAAAGTCGGCTGTTGAGGCTTTAGTCTAATAGTTGATATTTGAATGAATTTTTTTGATCAAATCGAATGTATTATAGTTAAAAAGTTATAGAATTCCGCAATGTTCTACTATGATATTAACTGCATTATAAAGGTGGAAATTTCTTTATTTAAGAAAAAAAACTTTGGCTGCGGATTTTTGCGGATGGCTTTGTAAGCAGCAAAAAAATGCAGTAGGGTCATACATATTTGAAAACGAGTAAACATAATATTTAGATAATGTGGGAGAAAAAATATTGTTGAAATAAAAAAGTCTATAATATTAAAACATTGAAAATAAAGTTATTATTTACAAATGTTTGTGAGTATTTGGAACCATAGTCAAGCGCACCAGCAATATTCAGTGTACTCATGAGCAGCGTTTGTGATCTATGTATACTATGTGTTTCCATGTAATCTTTTCATAATTAAATCTTATCATTTGGTATTTAGGTGCTTCAGAAATTACAGAAATAAGTAGAGCATATATATTAAGCATATTGATGGGAAGGTTAAATTTACTCCAAAACATCTTCTTGACTTCGAAAGGTATTCTGAAAAAGAGTTGAAAGAGTCGTCGTTAGAGGCAATTTCAATGTTTATTGAGGCAAACTTGTCTCGTAGGCAATACGAAATAGTAAGACAAAATAATAAAAAGTTTTATCCATGTTATACTTTAATCCAAAAAGCTACAAAAGATTGTTACCCATTAAGTTTAGCATACAAAATCACTGTTATTTCTACTATAATGAATTTACAAGATCTTTTGAATCAAGACTATTGGAATACCTTCAAGATGTGATGAAGTTATTAAATCATTAGAACTGAATGTTTTAAAAAGCTTAACACTCGTTTGTAAGTGAGGTTGTGATGGATCACAGCAACCCCAATATAAGCAAAAATTTGACAATGAGTTCGATTTGGATACGAGTATTTTTGTTTGTTTGTTTGTTGGTACCACTGCAACTAATATTATCAAATACTCAGAAAGTGATATGAGAAAACCCAACTCCTTTTTCACCACGCTATTGCCGTCCTATCCTATCCGTCCTATACGATTTGTAAAAGAAACCGAAGGAATTAAATTTTTAAATATTTCAAATGTTTTTAAAATTACACTTATTTTTCTAAGGTAAGAATAGAAAAATGCATGCTTTCAATAATAATTTTACTATTGTTAGGTATGAGAATATGTTTATCCAAAAAGTCAACTAGCAACTAGTAAATATACTTAAGACTAACAAGCATTTTTAGTTTAATGAATTATAAATATTTAAGCTAAGTAATGGACTTAGTGAGGTTAAAGACTGACTCTCCGTGCTGAGTCAGTTGCGTTGACTAATTGTAAAACTTCTGCCTTTTTATTTGTTTTTATATTTATTTTTATTTAAATTAATAAACTTTAAATTAATTGTAGATTTGTGAAATTTTTCAAAACATATTGTATATAGGAAATTTTTGTTTTGAAATCTGTTTACCTCGTTTTTAGAACACAGATGGTTCGTCGTGTATGAGCGCTCTTTCCAAGTAGCATAGAATTAGAGTGAATGCTCATTTCTAGACATTTCGTAACACAATTTTCACTATCATCCAATATAATAAATGATTTTGGAAAATGCGTTTAATCGGAAATTCAGTCATACAATGTGTCTATTTGTCGTGCCATGGAAGACTCTAGCACGCACTAATGTAAATGTGTGTGAGTTCTAAATTAAGCAATATATATATATTGTGTATATTTTTTTATTGAAGGGACGTACGACGACGAACGTTGCTGACAGATTCTTCCAAAGTATTAAAAATTTGAGAACAAAAAAATTTTGAATATGTTTTTTTGTATTTATTTCAAACTGTGTCTTCATATGTCTTAATTTTTTATACGAGCGGACTCTAGTACTGTGTACACAAATCATTTTCAGAAATGCTTTTTGTTAGCACAACATCACAGTCTCCGACTAAAATTTTGAAAGTAGCACGCCATCCGCATACTGTGATAGATGTTAGTAAATGCGTATAAGCGGTAAAAGAAAATTCGGAAGATTCCATAATTTATATAATTGTTCGATTCGAATTTTTGTAGAATCTATATAAAATAAACATAAATGTCTTTGAAATATATTCAGGGAATTTAAATGTATACCAAGTGTTTTCTGTGATGTATCTCTTGTTCTAAAGAAAGAAACGAATTTCATTCCAACATAGAACAAAAATGAGGTTATTACTGGGCATCGCGCTCTGTGTAACATTTCAATTGGTTTTTAACGCGTCTGCTATCTCTGCAGAGTTCGAAGTTGTGAAAATTGGTAAAACCATTTAAAAAAATTTAAAAATGGTGTGATGGTCTTAAATTTCTTAAAAATTAGGTGCAATTTTCTTTCACAATGAGATCGATTTGATTGAAGCTTTCGAAACTGCCATCGAGGACATAAATCAGCTTGAATTAAATGTGCGTCTACAACCGATAAAGCATTATTTGAGCGCGGACGATAGCATTGTTTTGCAAAAACTAAGTAAGGTTCAAACTATTATTAAAAACATCAACATTTATTTAAAAAAAGTGTTAATTATAATTTTTCATATTTTGGCATAATAAACAAACTTTTTTAGCTTGTCATTTAATTGAAAGCAATGTCGCAGCTATTTTTGGTCCAAGTTCAAAAGCATCAAGTGGTAAGTGGCAATTAACATATATACACAAATGTGTAGTAGTATTAGTTTTAGTATTTTAACTATATTTTTCATTTTCATATTTCATTTTTAAATTTGTCGTATTACAAAGTAATTTATAAACTGGTGTAATTATATATATAAAGCTTACAGCTATCGAGTGTTTACACTCGAGCGAGTGTTTACCAAAGTGCAGCATTCTATGTTCTTTAAAAGTCAGGCAATCACCTACTAAACATATTACCCAAGAAGATAAAGAAAAGAAAGTGAGAGGAAATTTGAATAATTGTGTCTCTTTGTGTAATATCGCAAAAAATCAGAATTGTTAAATATTAAAATCGGTGTGGTTTATAATCTAAATGTTTACTACTTTTGTGGTTGCATACTAGCATGTAGCCATTTCTTCTTATTAGAAGTTTTTTTATATATATAATTTATATATAATTATATATAGTTAGTCATGAAAGTGTTTTAATAAAGTGAAAAATTGTACAATATTCGTTTAAATAAAAGTTCTTTTTTATCATGTTGTACATATTATATATATATTTATATATACATATGTAGCTTAAAAAATACATTAATAGCAAAAGTTAGCATCTAAGAGAAGTTAGTACGTAATTCCTAACAAAGTCTTCCACTCGTTTCTATTATACTAATCATAAAACTGCCATTACTTAAAATTCTTAAGAAAGCATGTAACACGGTTTGAATCAGTATTAAGGAACTTTTAATATAAAAATATTAGTAACGAAAAATACAGATCACTTTCATTAAAGATATGCAGTAATTTCATAAAGTATAAAGCAACTTAATTATCCAAGCCCTTTTGCCCGTATGATTTGAAGAAAAAACAAACAACAACAAAATCGCAAGTTAGTTAGTTAGTTGTGGTGGATAGAGGACGAGTCCTTCTCAATTAACTAAAAAATCTGTTTGGAATCCACAAAAACTAATAGTGGTTAGTAGAGAGAAGGTCAAACCAGAACAAGCCAAATGCATTTATAAAGGCAAGAATCTGGCTAATGATAATTCCAGAGTTATCGCATAGTGAATTGAAGAAAGGGGTCCCTAGAAACTTAAACCTAGTTCTGGCCAGACCTGGACATAGACACATTTATTGTTCTGGTGTCATTTCTTTGAGTGTTGATATACACGTACTGCAAGAGGTAGGACAGGGTGTGCCGAGTCTAGCTCCATGTCGTCCTATGGACCAGTGCCCTGTAAAGACAGTTATGAACTCAGATACTTCTGATTTGCTTCTGTGTATTAATGCAGAGGTTCTATATTTGGAATCGATTGGACAAGTAGCCACTCACTATTTGTCTGTCGCACAAAATCGCAAATTGTACAAAATATTTTTAAAGCACATATATATATATATATAAGCATAATTGTAATTAACATAATTATATACATATATTAATACATCAATAACAATTAATAAGTACAATTAAAAATACTATTAATATTAATTATTATTATTATATTATGAAAAAAATAACATTCTAATCACTTTATTATTCTATTTTCAAATTACTTAATAATAACTAACACGTTCAAACTAATTGATGATTTATTATAACATTTACCTCCAGCTCAAAAAGTACCCGCATTTTGTAAATAAAACACATATTTAAACTTTATTCCAAATTTATTTTATCTCCTTCAAAATATGCTCCTTCTAAAGCGACACACATATGCCAACGCTTAACCCAATCTTCCATAGGGTTTTCGTAAGCCCCTGCAGGTATGGCAGGGGAATTCGCAGTTCCTTCAGCGAATTCTCTTTTACCGATTCAATCGAGTCAAAACTCTTACCACGAAGTGGCAATTTGAGTTTCGGGAATAGGAAAAAGTCGCGCGGCGCCAAATCTGGCAAATATGGTGCCTGAGCGATGATAGTGGTGCTGTATTTGGTCATAAAATCGCGTACAACAAGAATTTTCCATATTAAAAATCGCTAAATGCACTTGAGGTAGTCTCATAGGACTATTTCTCAAGGAGTAGTTAACAAACAACAAAATCCGGATACTTTTTGAGCAGACGGTATACTACTTTGGTGCACATCTTAATTTCTAATATGTATTTACTTTTTTCTACAACAATAAATTGTATTATTTTTAATTAATAACTAACCTTCGATAATTCTTCGGAAAGTATATGTAGGTATTTGAAAATCCAAGTGCGCACTTCCGTTTCAGTTTCCAAAAAATTTTAATTAAGTAATAATTAGAACATTCTGTTCGATAATTATCTTTTTTAATGCTTTTTAATGCTTCAATACTTAGTTTTAATTTTTTGCTACATTTCCGGTTTTCATCATTACCCAAATCGATAATACTATTTTGATAGAACGCCAGAACAACCAATTTTTCAAAGAATACTATTGCGTTATTTATTAGGTTCTGCGTTATTGTTTTTTGAATCTGATTGTCTGGCAAATTCCCTTTACAGTTGACGTGATCAAAATTAAGTTTTAATGTTTACGTATATGGCGTTGATAGCCAAGTTTCTATAGTTTGGGTTATTCTTTGGCGAACAAAGCGTTGCTTTTATGCAGAATGTCTGTTATTTTTCTACTCTCTCATGTTCTTCCTCTCTCCCGATTTGAGCTTCATAATTTATAACTGATTTAACTGTCGCCAATATTTCAAGTTTTCATTTATAGTAAGTGGGTTTCGAAGTTCATATTTATTCCTAGGTATTTATTATTATTTACGACTTCTAATTGTTTATTATTATGAAACCATTTTTCATCATTTTTTATTTGTCTGACAAATTTCGTGAAAATCATAACTTTTGATTTTGATCGATGTTTATTGATAGTTCCCATACCTTGCAGTTGTCTTTTAATTTTTCTATCAAATTTTGTAAAATCTTTGGACAATCTGCAAACAGCACTAAATCGGCAGTATATAACAATACTTTGAAGTACATGTCAACAATCATGATTCCAACAATCATGAAGAAATTTTTTGAAGTCATCAACGAACAATGCAAATAACATAGGGCTTAAGATATAACCGTGTTTCACCCCAGTACGTGATTGGGACCATCTTGAGTTGCATCTTCCATACTACACTGTTGATTTATTGTTTTAGGTATTATGTATTTTGCAGTATTTTTGTGAGTTTGGTTAAAATTCCCAGCTGTCTGAGTTTATAAAATAATCCATTTCTTTGCATTGTTTCGAAAACTGTTTTAAGGTCCACATAAAAACTTGAAACTTAGTGTTGTTTGAAGTAAATTCTTATAGTACAAGAATTTAGTGAGGACAAAAGTATTATCCACCGTGGAGTAAGGTTTACGAAATCTTGATTGAAATTCACTTAATTTGTTATTTCGATCTACTCAGTCTTTAATTCTATTATAGAGGAGGGTTCTAAACTCTTCTGCTGATATATTCAGATATGTTATTTCTATATAATTTGCACAATATTTGGGTTACATTTTTTAAAAAGGGGAAACGTTATTGCTTCTTTGAAACTAAAAGGAGAGAGTGCATTTGCATGTTTCAATCAAATGCCTAATTAAATTACTATGGCGTGGCATATTTGAAGAACTCAGTTAGAATTCTGTTTTAACCTGCTACGTTGTTATATTTGCAATTCTGGAGAACTACATAGACTTTCTCAATTCTTATTGGAGCATTCTTATTGGAGCTTCGTTTATTTCGTACGGCAGGAAATAGCTGGAGGAATAATTAAATATATCTTAGATATACACACATGTGTACGTATTGTGCATACACATATTTATAAATTGTATAACTATCTTGTAGATATCGTTGAAGTGTTATGTAATATTACGGGTATCCCACACTTGCAATATGACTGGCATATACAAGAAACAGGGCTCTATTATCGTAATCATCAAATGACAGTGAATGTTGCGCCATCTGAGTTTGGACTCTCCACGGCTTATTGGGATATATTGCGTAGTAACCGTGATAAATGGAAATCTTTTACTATTGTGTACGAGAGCAGCAGCAGTGAGTTAAATACAATTGGTTTTACTTTTTTTGAAATAAAGATATTTTCAATGCCCTCAATATTGCCGTTTTTTAGATTTAGCAAGAATGCAAGAATTATTTTCGTGGAAACAATTACATAAAACGGGCATAAAAGTGCACAAATTTAAAAGAGGTGATGATTATCGTATTTTATGGAAAGTTATAAGTAATTCCCGTGAAAGGTTTGTGGTGCTCGATTGCCCTTCAGATATTGTATACGAAGTCGTAAATGCGTCTATATACTTCAACATGACTGGATCTTTTAATGTATGTTTAAATTGTGCATTGTATCGGTAAAATATATATTAACCTATTACCATAGCACTTATTTCTGACGAATCTTGACACACACTTAGGTGATTTAGGCAGATTTTATGCCAAAGAATTCACGGTTGCAGCAATGGCTGTGCGATTACGTCCATATATACCGCCACCAGTGCATGAAGAAACTGATATATTTGAGCCTGAAACTACGGACAAGGTATTATGTTAATTATATATAAATGAGGTATTTTATCCATTTAAGTAGCACAGTTCTGCGCAGTTGTCCGTATCTGTCTTTACATTCAGTCTGTTGTTAATATATATTTTTATTTATATTATATCTTTATATATATAATTCTTCTGTACGTGTGTTGACAGTGAACTCCTCCGAAAAGGCTGAACCGATTTGGATGAAATTTTTTGTGTGTGTTTAAGTGGGCTCAAGGATGGTTTAGATTCACAATTTGGTCCACTGGATAATGTTATTTTTTAATTATTATGCAGTTTTTTGGTATCCATATACATTTATATTAGACATTTAAAATTTATTCATGCTTACTTTGATTTGTTTCAAAAGTTTAAAGTGTCTAAAATGAATCGTTCAACTATCCTGTTGAATTTTTGAATTCGCTGGAATTACCAGGAATGCCACCACATAACTTAAGATTAAAAATTGACTCACCTATAATTATGCTGCGGAATTTAAATACACCTAAGCTATGCAACGGCACGAGATAAGTCATAAAAAAAATTATGGGCAGTGGGCTTGAAGGTACAATTTTGAATGGCAAATTTGAAGATGAAGCTGTTCTCCAGCCACGAATCCCAATGATCCCTTCAGACTCACCCATTCCATTCAGACGTCTGCAATTTCCAATTTGCTTGGCATTTGCCATGACTATTAATAAGTGACAAGGCCAAACAATGTCGATTTGTGGAATAGATCTAGAAATTCAGGTGTTTTCACATGGCCAATTATAAGTGGCGTGTTCTCGCAATGGAAAACCTCAAGTTTATTCATTTATAATCCTCAAGATTTGACTAAAAATATTGTTCATCAACTCGCATTAAGACGAAATTAAACAAACATTATTGATTATTAAGAATTGTTTTTCGAAAAATTGATGTTATTTCAGAATAAAGAATAACAAAATTATTACATTATTTGTCTTTCATTTCTTACTTTGTTTAATATCCTTACCGCAGATCCAGCAATAGTAAAATGGTTAAGTAATATGCTAAACCAAATAAAGATCACAGCCTCTTTAGGACAAGTCAATCTTAGTGTTACAGTAGTAAAAGGATGCTCGCAAGGGGGAGTACTCTCACCATTGTTATGGTCATCTAATACAAATCCTCAACAACAAAGGGTATAAAACGATTGGATATGCAGATGACATATCAGTAATCATTACAGGGAGTCATGAAAGGACTATAAGGGAATTAATGCAGGATACACTTAACACAGCATTGGAGTGGTGTAGGAAAGAAGGACTATCAATTAATTCTACCAAAACAAGCATTATACCATTTACCAGGAAAAGGGCGTTTGATATCCCCACACTAACAATAAACAAGATACAGGTATCCCTCAAGGAAGAGCTAAAATATTTAGGAATTATCCTGGATAAAAAATTCACTTGGGAATTACACCTCAATTCCGTAAATAAAAAGGCCAAGAAAAACCTTTGGACCACACAACAACTTCTAGTAAAATCCTGGGACCTAAACCCCAAGGCTGCCTTTTGGATCTACACCCAAATGATTAGACCCATCATACTATATGGGGCAGTGGTATGGTAGGGAAAAACTAAATAAACTACAGCTATATCTAAACTGAGCAAATTACAGAGAGGACTATTCGCAAAAATGGTATACAGATGAATCCAAAACGCTTCAAAGTTTTGGAGCAGGGATAGTGGGACCCAGAGTACACAAATCAATTAAAATAAGCACAGACTCCACAATTTTCCATGCGGAACTCTATGCTATAATAGAGACTGTGAAGATCTTATCCAAAAGAGGACTTAAGAGAGTTAAAATTAATATACTCTCAAACAGCCAATCAGTTCTCAAAGCTCTAAAAAGCTGCACATTTACATCAAAAGTTCTTATAGAGTGTAACTCAACCAACTGGCTACCCACAACCAGGTCTCTCTGATTTGGGTACCCGGATATGAAGGACACAAAAGCAACGAAAAGGTGGACCTTTTGCAAAAAAGGGATAGAGGGATCATTCATTAGTCCAAACCCCTTCTTTGGCTTCAATAAAACGAACATAAAACAGGAGACAAAAAAATGGATCCAAAAAAGTATCAATGAATACTGGAATGGAATAGACGGCCTACATCATTTCAAAAAATTCTTAAATTTTGATGCCAAAAAAGCAAACACCGCTCTCAACCTAAGCAAGAAGAGTCTTAAGTCACTCTCTGGTGCACAAACAGGCCACGCCGCATGTAATAAACACCTACATAAAATAGGTACATCAGACACTAATATTTGCAGATTCTGCTGTGATGAGGAAGAGTCTATGGAACATCTGATCACCAACTGTGAAGCAGTAGGCCACAGAAGAAACAAAATTTTAGGTACATACCAACTGGAGGATGAAGACCTTCGAAAACTCCCTCCGAAGGAGCTGGTTCGATTCCTCGAGATACTAAATATCTAAATACAAAGGGTGCACAACAGATCAAACTGGTCGCAGTGCATAGGGACCTTAGCCAAACCCGAAAACCCCATTAATCATTAACCTAATCGCTTAGTATATCATGAAGGACAACATCTGTCGGGTCCGCTAGTATATTATAAAATTTAAATCTTTTAAATACGAAGTTGGTATCAATATTTCTGTTCAAAATTTGAGGTAACACAATGCATCACAATGCTTATGACTATTTGGGCTCTATATTAGGAAAAGCTGCAAAAACACGACTTAAGACAGAGAACGGACGAACATTTTTTTCAAGAATCATTATATCACAATGTTGGCAGATTGTATTTGTACTGACCTTTAGTGGTCGTAAATTTCTTATTGTGAAATGCTTTTATTTGAATTATACAGCAGGTTTGATTACAAAAATTTGTAAGCGTATCTTTTCCATTGTAGATAGTTCATATACACGCTCAACTAATTTATGATGCAGTCGTGCTGTACTTCCATGCCCTAACCAACGTTATAAACGCATTAAAATATTATGAACCGAACTTGCACTGTGGGCAGGGATTTTGGAAACCAGGTCCACTCATAATTCGAGAAATGAAAAACGTTAGTATATATATATTAAAATATCAATGATACTATATGCTCTAATTTAATAAACAAATAAACAGTTAACACCTAAGAATGTCACACCGCATTATAAAACACAAAAACTTCTTATTAACTCATATGGCAGACGAGATGATTTCAATTTGGAAATATATAATCCAGTAATTGAGCAAATAACCCATGTTTGGAATAAGCAACATCATCTAGTGAGTTTTGATGAAGTTAGTACAAATTCCAAAAACGAAGCAAAGAAACGAAAATTCAATGACAAGGAGGACTTCTCACAAAAAAAGCCAACTTACACAGTGGCAACCAGAGTTGGGGAACCATACTTCATGTGGAAGTAAGCTTAAAGTTTTCTATATTCTTGCGGTGAAAATGCAAGATATAGCAGACTAAACTTTAATTTTTCGTGTTCTTTATTCTGTTAATTTTTGCTTAGACCTGAACGAGAAGGTGAGCACTTTGAAGGCAATGAACGATTTAGAGGCTACGTGGTCGACCTACTTTATAAATTGGCTGATGAGTGCAAGTTCGAATTTGTTCTTGAACCTGTGTCAGATAACAACTATGGTAGTCCCGATCCTGAAACAAATGAATGGAATGGAATTATTAAACAAATAATTGATAACGTAATTATATTACTTGAGTTTATTTCAATTGCATTCTTTTATTGTTCACCATTTGTTCACAAATTTGTTTTATAGAAAGCACAAATCGGTGTATGTGATTTAACCATTACACAAGCAAGACGTTCAGTGGTCGATTTTACAAATCCATTTATGCAACTTGGAGTTAGTATTTTGTATTACAAAGACGAGCCACCAGCAGCGAACTTATTTGGATTTCTTAAGCCTTTTGCTTTGGAGGTCTGGGCTTACCTTTTAATGGCACTTATAATAACAGCTTTAGTTATGATCATACAGGCTAGGTAAGATCTATTACTGATAAAATATATACATACAACTTGAAACAAAATAATAATCACGATCATTACAGGATATCACAGCTTGATTGGGAGAAACAAGTGCAAACTGACCCAAATATCATTGTGCTTGAAAACAAGTGGCATTTGATTAATAATTTGTGGCTAGTAATAGGTTCAATAATGACCGCGGGTTGTGATATTTTGCCTAGGTGAAGTATTTCTTTTAAATATGCCTTATTTGTAGTCGTTTTACAATTCACTTAAAAATCAGTAAAATACAAAGATAAATTTAAGATATGTAGAAAAAAATTTTCAATAGCATATACTTAAGTAATTTAGTCATACATTGAAGCTGTAATACCGCATATAATTTATTTCATCAAGGCTGTGTGCGAGTTCGAGTAAATTGAAGTAAAGTAAATTAAAATTTCCTAACGATTTTTTGCACTGCACTTATTTACACTTCTTTATTGCACTTATTTATTATTTTTCTGTTAGAAGTTTTCAAATTTATTTATTTATTTATTAAATATCATAAAGTTTTCACAATGGCAATATCTGATTTACCTAATTTACCCTACTCGAAAGTCTAGTAAATACCAATATTCGCTGCCATACCGACATAATTTACTATTTCCCTGAATTTACCATCAATTTACTCGAACTCTCACTCGGCCTAAATTAAACTTATATCAGTTTTAAATTATTTATTTATTTTTATTTTTATTATTTATCACCATTTACGTTGTTAACATGCATATATGGTACAATAAGTACAATCTCAGTGCAAGTTAACAGCAGCGAAAACAAGAAAAAATTCACAAATAGTAATAATTCTATTCCACTTAATTTCATCTATTTATTTTTATTAATTTTGTGCAAAAAGTAATTGAAACTTATTATTCGAAAATGGAGTTCAACATTACCGCTCTAATCTATTACTACGCAAGATTTAAGTTCGATCTGTTACCTAACATGTTCAGATAAAATATTTTTGAAATTATGTTTTTGAGTGCTTCGCGATAGCACAATGCCATGTAAGAGTTTCGTATCGTAAGAGTTTTTGGTAAGTCTCTACAAATCTCATAAGATGCATTCTCATGATATGTTATAAAGATTACCTCATAAGATTACCTCTTTCGTATTACCTTTAGGTAAAAGAAAATCATGTGATGCAGTTACGGGTGACACCTTAAGCAGTCTACGAAGAACATATACCATTTGATCAAAAAACAACGAGAAGTTAAAAAAACACGCAAAATTTTGATTTTTAATCATTTTCTTTATTATCGCCTTCAAAGTACTTTCCTCCTGCGACAATACATGCATGCTAACGCTTGATCCAATTTACCATACAAGTTTTACAGGTGAAGGTGTGGTCTTTAGTTCACGCAGCGATTTCTCTTTTATGGTCTCTATGGTCTCAATACGCGTTCCTCGCAATGGTAATTTGAGTCGGGTGAAGAGGAAAAAATCACACGGGTCATATCTGGAGAGTACAGTGCTTGGTTGATGATATTGGTGGAGTTTTTGGCCGGTGCGTTATCGTGGTGTAAAATCCATGAGTTTTTCTTCCATAAATCTGGTCTCTTTGTGCAAATGGCCTCACGCAAACGACACATAACGGTCAAATAATACTCCTTATTGACCGTTTGACCATTTGACCGTCCGGAAAGAATTCATAGTGCACCACACCACGAATATCAAAGAAAACAGTCAGCATAACCTTGATTTTGGACCGACTTTGGCATTCTCTTTTCGGTTTCGGCTCACCTTCGAAGCACCATTCGGCATTCGGTTGATTGTTGTTTGATGGGCATGTCAAATTCATAAATCCATGTCTCATCACCAGTTATGATGCGTTCGGTGAATGTGGGATGAGGTGTCGCTATCTGCGTTGGAAATCATTTCTTTGGCCACATCACAACGACACTTTTTTTGAATGAAATTCAGCTAAAAATCGCCACACGAAAATTTTTCGACTTCTTTGTATAGACGCCAAACAAAATCTATTCGTACGATATGCGTTAAACTTTGACAGAATGTGTGTAATAGTGTTGCCAGCGTGAAAATAAAAAAAATTCATCGATTGAAGAAGCGCGGGAATTCAAAAAAGAACGAATAAGTTCTTTTTTGATCACAATGTACTATGACATCATTCTGTGATATCGGTATATTGAACTTGATGGGACTTATTTTAACGATGGTAAAATGAACTTTGATTAATAATAATTTCGGATATTTGCTTAAACGATATTGTTACAGTAAATGGTGATATTAATAATTTTTTAAATATTATGCAAAATATATATTAGTTATATACCTATAACATAAAAATTAAACTAAAATATAGTATTTAAAAAAATTTCAGGGGGGGAGCGACACGTTTGTTAACTGCTTTTTGGTGGATATTTGCTTTGCTCTTATCACAAACTTATATAGCGAAGCTGGCATCATTTATTACTTCATCTAAGATGGAGGGGTCAATAAGAGACTTACACGATTTAGTGGGCCAAAATAAAATACAGTTTGGTACAATAAAAGGTGGTAGCACATCAATGTTTTTCTCTGAATCCAATGAATCTGATTATAGAGTGGCTTGGAACAAAATGATTGCAATGAAACCAGATGCGTTTACTTCTAGTAATAAAGAGGGTGTGGACCGTGTAAGGCGGAGTCGTGGTCGGTATGCATTTTTAATGGAGACAACCAATTTGCAATATTATGTGCAAAGAAATTGTGATTTGCAACAAATAGGAGAACCATTCGGTGTAAAGCATTATGGCTTAGCTGTACCTTTAAGTGAGTACATTTACTAACATATAAAATTTATAATAATATATAGTTATATTATCGTTATTGTCAACTTATTAATTTCTAGATGCACCATTTCGTTCAAATCTAAGTGTTGGAATACTTAAGCTTAGCGAAAAAGGTGTACTGTACAACCTGAAAAAGACTTGGCTTAATGACAATAAAACAATGTGCAAACAACATACCGGTAGTTCTAGTAATCAAGAGACACAATACACGATGGAGTCTTTAGGAGGTTTATTTATAGTCCTAGCTGGTGGTATCTTAATTGGAATTGTCTTAGGCATAGGGGAATTTTTATGGTATATCGAGTCCATTGCAGCAAAAGAAAATGTAAAAATATGTGGTATATTAAGAAAATTTCAACTACTTTCAATTAATATTGTAGATATCACCTATGGTTGCGTTGAAATCTGAGTTCAAGTTTTTTCTTCGATTTTGGATTAGGTATAAGCCTATAAAAATCTATTTGGCCAATCGGAGTTCAACATCAACGGGCTATTCTTCATTTAAAGCAACGAGCACATCCACTTTCAAAAAGAAGAAAAAATCGAAGAAAAAAATTGTTCTGAACTCTGATTAAGCCAGCAATTTTTTACAAAATAGTAAAAAATTTAGTTCTAAGTAATGTAAAAATTAAGACAACTGAATATACATTGTGACCGAAAAGTTTTCGGGAAATTTTAAATAAAACGCAAAATTCTTAATCTTCATCAATATTTATTTTATCTCCTTCAAAATATGCTCATTAGAAGCGATAACAAATGCAACGTTTCTTCCAATATAAAACATTTTATAGGCGCTTTCCGGTATGGCTTTGAGTTCCCTCTGCGAATTCTGTTTTACGTCTTCTATGGATTCAAAACGCGTTCCTCTGAGTGGTAATTTGAGGTTGGGAAACAGGAAAAAGTCACACGGTGCAAGATCAGGTGAATACGGTGGCTGTTCGATGGTATTTATTGAATGTTTGGCCTTAAAATCGTTGATAATGTTGAACAAATTGAGGTGAATCGGAACAAGCCGGGCGTTGACACGTCGCATACACAAATTGTCCACCAAAATCAAACGAGCCATCTCACGACCGATGCCTAGCTCTCGTGCTATCTCTCTAACACTCACATGAGGATTTTTGAACACGATTTCCTTTGCCTTTTCAATGTTTTCGTCGGTGGTAGAGGTCGAAGGTCGTCCAGAACGCGGCATGTCTTCGACGGTCGTACGACAGTCCTGAAAGGCTTTGTACCACTCATAAACTTGAGTTTTCGATAAAACTGATTCCCCATAAGCCTTTTGTAGCATTCGCAACGATTCTGCACACGAAATTTCGTTCGAAAAACAAAATTTGATGCAAACTCTTTGTTCAATATTTTTTTCCATTGTTTTTTTCGCAACGCACTACTGAGGTGAACTGGTTTCAACAGCTGCCGTAAACGAACTGTCCGACAGATCGCGCCTCATTTTGGCATAGAATTAAGACAGTGCGGCCAAACTACATAAACTTAAATATCGAAAAATATACAGCGCGCGAATTTTAAATGAGAATTTCCGAAAACTTTTCGGTCACAATGTAATTTAAATAGAGCAATAAAATTTATATTGTAAGCTTACACTAGCTTACACTAGTGCTTTAAAGAAAAATTAACAAATGTTTAATGAATTATTTTTAATATTAAACTTGATTTAAAACACATGCTTAATTGATTATATACTTTGAAGTAAATGTAATTGTTCAACTACTCCAAGTTCAAGCAATAACAACTAATATTCATGGAATCGGAGAAAAATCAAACTGTAATATTTTTTTTTTTTTAATACCGGGGGATGTTACATCGAAATTTTAGAATCAATTGTTCCTATTACTTAGACTTAAAATAAGTCATTTAGTCCTGTCTCTTTAATAAGCAGAAGTATTTTTTCTATATTTTCGGTTCATTATTAAATGATGGTTAAAATAAATGCCAAACCACTTAATATAAATATTATTCAAGTATATGCGCTAAGTGCTGACAAAGGTGACTACGAAATATAATCTTTTTATGCTGAATTAAATGAACTTATGCGACTGACCAAATCACATGAAATAAACATTAATCAAGGAGACTTTAATGCAAAGGTTGGAAGAGGAGAAGTTCATGGAGTTGTGGGCCAGTATGGACTAGGTGAAAGAAATGATAGAGGAGATCGACTAATACAATTCTGTCAAGAATATAAATTAAAGATTTCAAATACTTTGTTCAATCTACCACCTCGTAGACTATACATATACGTGGAAATCTCCATCTGACACTCCTGATAACATTATCAGAAATCAAATAGACTTCATCCTAATTAATGATCGTTTTTGCTCTTCAGTTAAGAAAGTTACAACTTACCTGGGGGCCGATGTACCATCTGATCATAATCTTCTAATGGCGAAAATTTGCATAAGATTAGCATCAAATCGCAAAAACAAACCAAGCCTTAAACTCAACTTAGAAAAACTATTAAATGATGACATAAAATGTTCATTAAAAAATAAAATAAATCATAGCATTAGTAGTACTGATTCTAGGAACCCAAATAATATATGGGAGCAACTCAAGACAACGATTACATCTTCATCGAAAGAAATTCTTTCTTATAGGAAAGAAATAAAAAATCATTGGATGATCGAAGATATAGTGAAATTAATAAATGAACGTCGTCAGTATAAACAAAACAAGATCTATATTGGCAATTAAACAGAGACATCAGCAAAAACAGTTTGGGTAAATAATGAATGCCAAGAAATTGAACGATTACAATCACTACATGATGACTTCAATCTACACAAAAAACTGAAACAGACTGCAGGAATTTACCGAAAAAACTCTCCTTCATTTCTCATTAGTGATGACAATGAAATAGTTTTTGACATTAATGAAAAGAAAAGAATTTGGAAAACATATATTGAAAACGTTTTTTCTGATAGCAGTAGACTAAATAATGATATTTATTTTACAAATATGCCAACTGGAATGTACATAACTAAAGACGATGAAAAAAAATAAGGCAAATGGCCCAGACGAGATTCCATCTGAAATTTTGAAATTAATTGATGAAGAAAATACCAATCTATTAGTAAAATTGTTTAATCATGTATACGATACTGGACAATATCCGACGACTGGGCAAAATCTACCTTCATAACACTGCCTAAGAAGAAAAATGCAAAAAAATGTAGTGAATACAGACTTATCAGCCTTATGTCCCATGCTCTAAAAATTTTTCTAAAAATTATACACGGCAGAATATACAAAAAATGCGAAGAAGTGATGGGGAAATCACAATATGGTTTTAAGGAAGGACTTGGAACTCGGGAAGCACTATTATGTATTCAAGTTTTAGTTCAAAACTGTAAAGACGTTCACAAAGACGTTTTTCTCTGTTTTATCGATTACGAGAAAGCGTTCGACAACGTGAAACATGATAAATTTATAGAAATTCTTCAAAACATTGATATCGATGACAAGGAAATCCGATGCATTAAAAATTTGTACTGGCAACAAACTGCGCATGTAAACATCGATGGTGATATAACAGAAGGGATATACATTTCAAGAGGCTTTAGACAGGGTTGCATATTGTCGCCACTGTTATTCAATGTGTATTCAGAAAAAATATTTGAAGAATCCATTAGCGATATTCAACAAGGTGTGAAGGTAAACTGAGTTTTCATTAATAACATCAGATACGCGGACGACACCGTTCTTATTGCCGACAGTTTAAGTGGCCTACAAGAGCTAGTAAACAGGGTTAACATCACTAGCGAACAATATGGGCTAAAAATAAATATAAATAAAACAAAATATATGATTGTAAGCCGAAAGAATATGTATAGCAACACAAATTTATTGGTTAATAATATTGGTATAGAAAGAGTACAGCATTTTAAATATCTTGGATGCTATGTAAATGAAAATTGGAATTGTTCCAAAGAGATCAAATGCCGAATAGAAATAGCACGAAATACTTTTCTTAGATACAAAAAAGTACTTAATAGTCATGATCTCAATATTAAAACTAAAATCCGTTTTGTAAAATGCTATGTCTGGTCTATACTTATATACGCCATGGAAACCTGGACTTTGAAAATTGTTGATATTATCAAACTCGAAGCATCTGAGTTATGGATTTGTCGGAGAATTCTCAAAATTCCATGGACAGATCATGTTACAAATAATGAAGTGTTACGAAGAATGAGGTGTGATCGCGAATTGTTAACAATTATAAAAAGAAGAAAAACAGCTTACCTGGGACATATTATGCGAAATTCAAAATATGAGCTACTCAGAATGATTATTCAAGGAAAACTCGAAGGCAAACGCGGTATTGGTAGGAAACAATTTTCATGGCTGCGAAACATTCGTCAATGGACTCAAATACGAGAGGTTGGCAGCCTTATAAATATAGCTAGATGCAGAGAGCAATACGCAGAAATAGTTAAAAATTTATAATTGTGTTTATTAAAAACTAATCAAACAATATAGTATTATGTTATGTTACTATGTTATAATTATTATGTTATAATTATTATTATGTTATAATTAATCAATATAGTATTATGTTATGTTATATGATCACCAATATTCGAAATCGAATTGGCAAATAAAGAAGAAGATTAAATGTTTTGTATTCATCTAAGACCTTTGTTACTGCATTAAAGCAAAGCAGTTTTCCAGCACGTGCTTGGCCCTCTTTTCCTTGTATTTGTAGAACCATCCACCAGAGACGAAAGTTAAGATGTAAATATTTTTTGGATAAATGGTTTCAGGTCCCAAGAAATCATTTTAGGGATCTAAAACTATGTTGTTTCATTGTATTCCTTTTTGCTTTCATACTTTTTTTTAAATTATTTGTTTTAAGTCTACAAGCGCGTTTTTTCTTTGCAAACACGTCTACGATTTAATCGTTTTCTAATCCTAACGTGCCTTGGAGCTCCTGCAACTCATATGTTATTACTTTGGCCGAGTATATTAAACTTTTCTAAATATTTCGATATAAGGTGTGATGTTTTTTGGTAAAATTATTGTTTATTAAGGCCGTGTGCGAGTTCGAGTAAATTGGTGGTAAATTAAGGGAAATAGTAAATTTTGTCGGTATGGCAGTGAATGTAAGTATTTACCAGAATTTTGAGTAGGGTAAATTAGATAAAAATTAGGTAAATCAGGTATTATCATTGTGAAAATTTTAAAAGATGTTTATTAAGTAAATAAATAAATTTGAAAACATTTAACCAAAAATAATAAATAGGTGCAATATATAAATAAATAAATATTTACATAAGTGCAGTGCAAAAAATCCCTAGTCAATTTGAATTTACTTTATCTCAATTTACTCGAACTCGCACATGGCCTAAGTTGGTTTTTTTTTTGGTTTTTTAAGATAG